ATAGCCTTATATAAATTACAATGAAATATATATACGCAAGAAAATAACTACTCAACAAAGTACTGATATTTTGACTGGAATTATACGTGCATTCACCACAACTTCGCCGCTTGCATTGTTTTCAAGATGACTGTCGTGCAAAGGGGGGGCTCTCTAGGTACTTTTTTACCAACACTTGAGTTAAAACGAGGAATTGACGTTTAAACTTCAATATTTCGCAGGAATTTTGAATTTTAACATTGGACACAGAACTGACGGGTAAAAGTGAGTACAAAGATTATCAATTTTTTTAAAATTGCTATTATTCGAATCTATGATAAAATATGAAAAATACATTATTTTATGTTTTATAGTTTGTAGTGAAATTGAAAAATTTAAGATAAATTGAATATATTTTAAAATAAAATCACTCAAATATTTCATTCGGGAGTTGTGACACGCCAAGGTACTTTGAATATTTATTATATAATATGTTTGTCTATAAACGTGCTTTTGAAAAAATACATTAAAATTGGGTGGACAAGTTAAAAAAAACTGGATCTTTTGTAATACGAGCCCTAACCACATAATGTTCGGACACTTCATAATTTATACAGAAATTTTTTTCGTGAATACTATCTCAAAATTATTAGAAGTTATGAAAAATTCAGCTTATTTTGGCATATACCCCTCGAAGCGATTTTTATTTTTAAAAAGTTTACCTTTTATTTTTAGCTTTTAAAAAAAGGCTAACTTTTTAACTTTTTTTTGTATGAGTAAAAAAAGTTATAAATGGACCCATTAAAAAGAGCATAAAATATTATACAAACCCTGAAAATTTGGTAAAAAATAAATAAGTTATAAAAAAGTATAAGTAATTTAAAAATGCTATTTTTAAAGAGTTTTTGCAATTTTCTTAGGAAACGGGAGATTTTGCAGATATATATATCGCTATAACTTTCTTATTATTTATACAATTTTTACCAAATTTTCAGGGTTTGTATAATATTTTATGTTCTTTTTAATGGGCCCATTTATAACTTTTTTACTCATGCAAAAAAAAGTTAAAAAGTTAGCCTTTTTTTAAAAGCTAAAAATAAAAGGTAAACTTTTTAAAAATAAAAATCGCTTCGAGGGGTATATGCCAAAATAAGCTGAATTTTTCATAACTTCTAATAATTTTGAGATAGTATTCACGAAAAAAATTTCTGTATAAATTATGAAGTGTCCGAACATTATGTGGTTAGGGCTCGTATACCTACTAAAATATTTAAGAAAAATATTAAAATACCTACTCTATTGACTGATGACATCAAGTTGTCCAACTTTTGTTGATATCAAACAATAATTGTCTTATTTTATTTAAATATTTTTATTGTAAACCTTTTTTTCAGTCAATCTGCTAGTTTTCAACGATGCCAATATTTAGGCTTTAACTCCCCTCACTGTGAAGGTCCTTGAGTTTAATTATTAAATTAATATTTTAATAATTAAAATCAAATCATATTATTGGACCAAGAGATACCTATTTCCTCTAAAATCAAAATGTGGTTAGGTCAATGATTAATGCTTTTGTAGCAAGACAAATTTTCTTTCTTAGAAAGTTCCTAAGCTTTTCAATTAAGATATGCAGTTTTCTTGTTAAATCCCATTTTTTTGCGCTAAAAAACGTTTTCTTTATTCAAAAGAGAAATATCTTCCGAAGAAATATTTTTGGTTCTTGTACCAAGAAATCGCTTGCTCTTGATTTAATCTAATATTGTAATATCCTTAAACGAATAGATTAAGAAACGCACAAATCTTTTGAATCAAAGTGATTTTCATTTCTTTTAAGAGATTATTTTTTTCAGAGTAGTATTATCCGTTACATGGGCTAAAATGGTTTTTGTGACTTGTGCAATTAAATTATTACTTGTGCAACTAGTGCAAAACAGCTAATTAGTTATAAAACAGTAATGTCTTTGATAAACGTATTAATCATGGCATTTAACAGTACCTACTCTACGAAACAGCCGTACTTCTTTAACCTTGCATTGAACTTTGCGCAACAAGTACTTTTAGAAGGAAGAGAAAAAATAGAAAAAGCAGACAAGAGCAAAGCAAAGATAATAAGTACGAAGACCGTTCAAGCATGTCGCATATTCCATAGACAAAGAGAAGATGATTCAGATTTCCATTAGCCGGTGAATGTTCTCTGTTCTATTATCCATTATCGAGATTATCGTGGAATTTACGACCTCAAATTGTGTGGCATCACGTCATTAGATTACAACGGTCTATATAAAATTAAACTGGTCGGTATATTTCAATGTATCTATACAGGGTGTTTCTTAAATGATGCAAACAGAACAGGGACTTCTTAGACTTCAGCAAACGATCTGGCATTTAGGCAGGAGTCAAGAATCCTTTTGCCCGCTGGTAGGCTTACTTACAAGTCACGGGCTAAGGAAACAGCTTACAAGGATAGGAGATAAAACCCTGTCTGAGATGCAGAAGAGAAGAAGCTGGGGCAGATGAAAAGGACCATTGAGTCTACTCGTCAGGCTACAAGCCTACCCAAACGTACTACTACCACAGCTAAAGACTAATGATCAACAGATTTTGATTTTTTTGATCAAACATCAAGGTTCCATCAAGATTTACTATTACCCTTGAAGCGCGGACTTTAGACTTTTTTCTATGTAGGTCCATTAGTAAAGTTACTACAACTGATGAAAGCGCAGAAATTAAGAGGTTTGTTTGTAAGAGTTTAAACTTTGAATTGAATTTGTAAGTTTAAAAAATTCATTGTATACCATACACAGTAAAAAATATTTTCTCTACGACTACTTAAGAATAGTAACATTCTAGTGTAATTTTTGATCATAGAAAGGATGTTTTTCTGCAATACTGTGCGAGAATATTCCTACTCTTGTTTAAGAATGGTCACAAGTAACGACATCTCCTGGCTGTTTACTAAACGTAAAAAATTTAAAAATACTACTAATTACTGTATTATTTATTAATTAAAAAATAATAGCAGTTCTATAATTAAGGTTTAGGCACAAAAAATTAGTTATATTTATTGTTTTTCAAATATACAAATCAAAATTATAATAAATTTGATATTAAAATGATAAACCAGTTACCTACTATACCGGCTTTGAAGTTTTGACAGATTCAAAAATTTTAAAAAAAAGACCCTAAAATGTAGAAAAAGAATAGATGTTGACATAGATTACTTGTAAAATTAGTTTTGTATTTGTTACAATGTTATTTTTTTTATTAGTTAGTGTAAATAACTATTTTTAATTATAATAAAGATTTAGGCATACCATTTGTTTAAATTTATTATAATTTACATTATAAAATTGTGACGGCACAAAATGGTTTGACAATACAAAAACTTAAATGTCAAAAACTGCTTGGTTTCTTTTCTCTGTTTAAAATTATATAAGCGTTACTATTCTTACGTAGTCGTAGAGAAAATAATGTCTGAAACACGTTTGGAATAGCATATTCCACTCTCGTAAAATCGTCACACTCGCCTTCGGCTCGTGTGTCACATTTTTACTCGAGCGGAATATGGTGTATTCCAAACTTGTTACAGAATGTACTATTAATGTTCTCCCAGGTGAAAGTTGTAGAGTGAAAAAGTTAGTGTAAACCATCACACTATTTTCAATCCTAAAATATATTTTTTCGTGTAAGTGCGATGAAATGATAGTAGTGTTCCACATCAATCTAACTTTATACTTAAATATTCATTTAACACTAGTCAAGCTCTGGCAGTGCACATAAGTGTAAATATGCAATTAGGAGGTGTTCAGTTGACAAAAACGCAAACTTGTTTCGTTCATTGTTCTCTCAGAATTTGTGTTGGAAGAATGCACCAAGCTGTTTAGTTGTGGTTTATAATTATTAAGTAAAGGTAAGTCAATTTCAAAGTATTATTGCTAATCATGGTTTATAATGTCAAAAATTGCATTTTTTTGGTTCATAAGGTCGAATATCGCATGAAAATCGCGTTTTGTTTATTGTACAGACAAATTTTAAGTACAGTTCTTACAATAGCTCAGTTTAATGTATATAATAAGTAAATCGTTTTTTTTTTTAATTTTTAGATGTCTTTTCTGAGAGTAAAACATGTCCATGATGCCAAGTTTAAAATTTTTAAAACCTTAGCAGTGTGATACCAGCTGATGGCATTGTATGATGACAACTTTAGCAATGAATTGCAAACAGGACCTTCAAAGTTTTATTTTGAGATTATCACTCCAAAAATTTGGCATTTAATTAGGTATATAGAAGAACTTCCCGATTCGATAAAAATTTTAGTCACAAAATGGGTAAGAATTGGTTTCCTGTATAAAACTACGAGATTTTAAACTTTAAACGAATAGTGTCAATTGGTACTTTGTGCCAAAATATTATTTGGTGTTTTGAACGTATTTATATTTTAAGTAATTGCCAAAGATTAGTTTTATATTTTGTAGCGTAAAACTTACAATGGACTGTATTTATATAAAGTAATTGCCAAATATTGTAGTTTGATTTTTTGTAACGTAAAACCAAAGTGAAACAAATTCAAATAAAGTGTGAAAGTGAACACTTTTAGAGAGGTACCGAACACGGTTAGTGTAGTAATTTTCAATCAAATAGTTTATGAAGTGTTAACTGTGTTAAATGTGTTACACTACAAGAGTACAACCTCTAGAGTTAAAACAACACTAAAATTCACACTAAATTTAAGGTGAAAATTTGAACTCTAATAAAGTGGACCTGCTCAAGTAACTAGTATTCTCTAGTGAAGCCTAGTGTGAAGCTTTTTTTTACTGTGTATAGGACTAATAAACTATACGGTGAAATAGTTCTCACGCATTTGAGATTTTTAGCTTTGGCGAAAGTAAACTCTGCTGTCATGAGTAAAATACGGCAAAAAATAGCCATGTAATACTAAACGTTGCACAACAACCGGCTTAAGAGACCGTTTCTAACGCTTTGAAAACCGCTCGAGAAGATTAAACGCAAACTGATTACGGTCAAGTTTTCAGCATAGCTCTCCGTCCTGCGACGTGGTAACAATAACAGCAATCTCTTGTTCTGGTATTATTACGGCTCGAGTCGCCAGATTGAGAGTGAGCTCGATCGATAGGTTCCCATAAGGCCTTATTGATTAACGGTTTTGCAACAATGCATGTGCCATTTTCTTTCCACACTGCATAATGCACGGGCTTAAACCGCATGCAGGAATAGTAATCGTTGCGCCTAAAAAGTCTCTAAACAATGGTTCTATTAGCATTTATTACAGGAAATTATTGCCTCCTTTATGTAGTTTCAAAGTCAAAAAATGTCTACTTGAACTGTACTCAAGAGCAGCCAGCAAAACCCATTGTTACATTACATTATTCAAACAAAGCGTTCTTTATTACAAAACAAACCTACTTTTACATTTATTAAAAATTACAAAGCGTATGATCTGCGTTCTTGCATTATGGTGAAAGACAAATCGTTTAATCTATTGGCAACGCTTTCCATCGCCAAATATCTTTCGTTGCACGTTTCCAAGCCCTTAACCAGAATCTTATTAACCTGATCCAATCTACCATGAATGTGGTTGTCCAAAATAGCCATCACCAGAAGGTCTTCTACGTCTTCCTCGCTTATACCGAGCTCCTTACTTATAAACGAAATCTTAATTTTGCTGTAAGGTCGGATGAGATTCAGCAAAACAATCGTGCGCACGTGTTTCAGTAGCTCGGCGATGTGCTCGCGCACGAACGGGTCGGCCATGAAGGATTCCCGATTCTCGCGGAATATCTTCTCGAAAACCTCCATATCGTTGGTCTGGAAGGCCTGGATGAGATCGGTCATCGCCCTTATTTCCGGATCGTTCTTGTACGGTTTGGCCTCCTGCGAGTCGAAGGGGTTGATGGAGGATTTCATCAGCATGCTCGTCAGGATGAGGTACTTCAAGCACGTGACGCGCCTGGGGTTCCCCGATTCGTCGTAGTTTTTGAAAGCCTCGAAAAAATCCGTGTAGGCGTCCTCGTAGTCTCCCGATCTCAGATGCATTTTGCCCCCGCACTCCCTTATAACGCTCATGATCAGCGGGTGCGGTATCGCCGATCTCACCCTCAAAGATTTCTCGTACAGCTCTTTGAGCTTCTTGTTGTTTTTCTGTTCGGTGTACATTTGAATTTCAAGCGCGTAAATCTCAAGCAGTTGCGTTCCCTTGTGCGGATCGTTATCGCACTCGCTGTATTTGCAGCTCTGTTTTAATTCTCTGATTATCGTGGCTAGCCTTGAGTATTCGTGACGTTCCAAGAACACTTTTCCGAGTTTTGTGTTGGTTTTGAACCACAATCTGTCGTTCTGCGCTTTTTTAAGTGCTTCCAGAGTGGTTTCGTAGAATTTTTGGAGCATTTCGATGTTTTTGGACGTCGATGTGAAGTCCAGAATCGAGTTTATGGATTTCTCACCGTGATTTTTCGTTACAGCGTTGTTGATGTAACTCAGAAGCTCTTTGTACTTGGCTATAGTTTCCTTATAGTTTTTTAGTTGATAATTTATCTTAACAAGTTGTTTTAGAGATTTAAAACCCCATTCACCTTTGGCCTCTCCCTGCAAATCCAAGACCTTCTGGAAAGCCAACGCGGCATGCTCCAAATTCTCTTCTTTTATCGTTTTCGCCAAATAATATTGGTTTTCCAAATCCACGTCAGGTTCGGAGGTGCTATCCTCTGAATATTCCAAGCCGTAGTCGTCATCGTCGTACAGGTAAATGCTCATCTTAACAGACACTTTTGAAAGCTACCAAAAATGACAATGACATGACATTTGTTTTAATTGTTGCTATTGACGACGGCAACAATGGCCACTTAGATAATAATACTCTACTCGACCACTTTTCAACGAAATTTTTTTTACAGTTTCTCTACCGAAATCGATGAGACCCGTATTTTTTCTTTTGGTTTAAATTTGTTTTGTTCATCCGTAGGAATTTTTTTAAAATGGATAGAAACATGGATTTTTGCTTTTTACGAGTGACATTTTTTTTTAAATCGTTATATACATATTTTTAAATTGTAGGTAAATGTTTACTACATACAAAAATATATAAAAAATTAATTGAATTGTTTTTTCTGAAAAAAGGCAGTCAAAATTTTTACATTGCCACATTTATTTTACTTCATATTTTTTTCGTTTGAAATTGATAATATAAATAAATTTCACCAAAAGTCCAGAGTTGGCTAAATTTGTCATTTAGGAATAATTATTTTTTTAATGAAAATGCCATTTTCTAGTATACTACAATTTTTAATTTTACAACAAAATTGTAAAAAATATTCATTACAACAATATTCTAATTTTACAATTTTGAATTTAACAATATTGTAATAATTTTAATTTGCAAATGCAATTTTACAAGGAAAATTATGGGTATAAAATAACCCATTATTTTCTTTGTACTTTTACCAAAGATTAAATATACTCTATACTAGAGTATATTTAATCTTTGCTTTTACAACAAATTTTTTTCAGTGTATAGTGTATATCTGCTTTTAATTTTTATTAGGTTTATTTAACATTTTTATTATAATAAAAATGTTAAAATAGGTTTATTTTTATTATTTTTGTATTACATATCTACCACAATAATAAAAATTAAGGACACACCAAAATTAACACAATTTCAAGGAAAATATGACATTACTAAATAGCCTAATATAAGAAGATAAAAAAATATAATTAATATTAATATTCACGAGATAAGATTGTATTAAGTTATATACTAAATAGCCTAATATAAGAAGATAAAAAAATATAATTAATATTAATATTCACGAGATAAGATTGTATTAAGTTATATTTTTACCTATAAATATTAAAAGAAAAAACTCTCACTCTTAGCAATAACATTTAAATAATGCAAAATATATTTTGCAAATTAAATTAGTTGTATTTTCTATTTAAATAAAATAAATTAAAAACTATTATCAGATTTTATAATTCTAATATACAAAATAAATAAAAATAAAACAAAACATATAATATTATGTACCAATAACTAACTAACAAATAGAAAGTAATAATAAATAATATTGTCTTAAGAAAAATCGTTCAAAGCGTGTTTTTGTCTAGTTTTGATGATACAGAAAATAAATTATAAAAAAAATATATTTAAAAAATTGAAATTTTTGTGTTATAAATATTCTGATTAAAAAAAACAGCATTGCCTTAAAAGAATAATATTGTATTTTTTCCAGACTATTGTATACTTGGCCCAACATAAAGCAAAAAAGCCAATTCAAGGCACTATATATATATAGAAATAAAATTTCATCGAAAAATCAAAAATTAACAAATGACATACAGTGTGACCTATTTGTTTTCGACTCACCCCTGTAAAATCTTTATTTATTGTGCCGGATGTTTTAAAGTGTGGATCTTGATAAACTGTATTTTTGGAGCAAAAAACGCCATATTTTTATAAAATACAAGGCCTATGTCAGTTTTTTAAGAGTAAATTTTTAAGAATTCATATTAGCGATTTTTTTAAACAAAATCTAAGCACGGCAATGGATTCACCACCCCTAAAAACGACCCTATACTAAATTTTATTGAAAAATTTAAGAAAAAAAAATGCACAATAATAACTACAAAAATTTATTTTGTCAAGTTATCCATGAAATAAAATTAAACTAATAGTAACATGGTACTATTACTATAAGTTCAATTTTTACTCTTAAAAACTGACATAGTAAGCCTTGTATTTTGCACTAATACGGCGTCTTTTGGTTCAAAAATACAGTTCATCAAGATTCAAAACAAATCCGGTTAAAATCGCACAAGGAATAAAGAGTCGCAAACAAATGGGTCACACTGTATGTGTGTATTTCATTAAAAATATAACAAGTAACAAAAATTTGTTAAATATGTCAAAAAGTTCTAAATTACACTTTATAAAGGTCATCCCAGTTTCATGACCATAGACAAAATACAACATTTTTGCGATGAACCACGAGTTTGCTAGAAAAAAGCATTTTCATTAAAAAAATATTCCGAAACGAAGAATTTATCCAACTCGGGACTTTTGGTGAGAGTTATAAACTTCAAACAAAAAAAATATGAAGTAAAAAAAAAATGTGGCAATGTCAAAATTTTGACCTCAATTTTTTTTTGCCTTTTGTAGAAAAAACAATTAAAAATGTCGATTTGAGATGGAAAGGCCCTGCAGAGTGTAAAACTAACGTGAAACGTCAAGTCTATATTTTTCAATATTTAAGGTTATACTTAAGCTTTACTGAGTTTCTTCTAGACCTCTGTTTGTGCTTCGCAGAGTGCAATTTGCTCGATGAAACAGTGTAAAATATAAGCATGTTTTTTCCATCAATATAGGTGACTTTTGGACAATATCGGAAGCTCTGACCATTTAGCGATGTATTTTGTGATTTGAAATTTTCCATGGAAGTTGTGTGGATCGCGCTGAAGCCACTGGACGTTAATAAAAATGGCGAAACGAAATCTCACTGCTAAGTGGTGTTTCTCACGGAATAAGCCTACTCGTAGAGTCCATTACATCAGCAGTAACTGATGTCTGCCAAGCGTTGCAAGTTCAACTGTTCGCCTGCGGCTGATCGTGCTACACACCCAGCACCCAATTCTATACCAAACTACTAAAATTCATTAATGAACAAAATTGTTATTTCACTGTGTTATTATAAGCCTAGGCAGCGAGGATTACATCGGCATATAAATCATAAATTTTTCTTTTGCAATAACACAGTTATGTATATACATAACTGTCTTATTTATATGTATATGTGTATTAAAAAATTATCAACAGATTGAATCTAGAACGCGTTAGTATGGTATAGGTTACCAACTTGTGGTTCGTCAAGTTTTATGAATGAAATTTGTGTTGTGCTACACGCAAAGAAATTTGTTGTCAAAATCCATATAATTATTAGAATCTTCTTTACACAAATTGTGTTAAAAATACGGATAATATAACAAGTTCTAATACACATTGAAACCAAATTAAAACAAATGTAATACTATAACTTACAACACCTAGAACAGCAATTTGTAGTTGCTACTCTCTAAAAATGAAACAGTGGATTTTCACTGATTGACAGTGCATATTAACAATTTGCCGCAGTGATAAGTATACCACTAGCAACTAGTGAATACTCACTTTTTCATGTAGCGATTTCTTTGCACTAAATTTATTTAGTGGAAAAAAAGTTAAAATTTCACTCTTTTATGCCGAGAGTTCCGAAAAAATAGTGATAATAAAAAACACTAATTTGGAGAAGTTAAAATTTCACTAATTTATATTGATAAACACTAATTTTACAGTGAATTAATAACTCACTGACGGAAATAGTGAAAATTTCACTGTTTCACTTTTAGAGTGTACACATATTTTTATATGTGCATTTTAGTCATGTACTTGTTGCGTTTGTCACAATCTGGGTCCAGAAAATTGTGTGTACATTAATATTATAAATTATGGTACAACAATTATTCAAGCAGCGACCAAAATTCACTTCTGCAAATTGTAGTGGGAGGCAGGTGAGGCAGTGCCTCATCATAGAGAATTAAAAAATTAAGTATAATTTAAATATTTTACTTTCTATAATATACTATAAATTTTTAATATTTGGATTACATGAATTGTGAAATAAAATTGATTGATTTTATACGTGGAATATATACCCAGCGACATTTAAATTATTTGAATTTGAAACGACCAAAATTTAAACTAATATTTATAGCTAGATGATTGGCTCAGAAGCATGCCTGAACTAATTTAGACTCACGATTGGCGTTAGCCTTGTTGTCTCGTTCTATTACAATGCGATATCATAGTTGTCTCCTTCTCTCGTATTAGCATATGTATACGCGAGACAGGCACGCCTACATCCAAGGAAATAAGCTGGTGTTGTGGCTACACTGTTGCGGAATTTTAGATAAATTATACTTTACACGTTTTTCAAAATTCAATAATTAATGGTATTATTTTTCTTATAATAAATCGATTTAATCGAAATTATATTTCTATTCTAAAATAAACATATTTTTACACTATCGCCATCTTGTAGCCATCACAGTAACCAATAGAATAAATACAGATTCCTTCTTTAGGTTTGTTTTGGTTATAAAATTTTGAACTGTTTAAAGAACAAATCTCCAATATTTTGTTTATTCTTTTTCTATAAGTTTGTCTATTTTATGATTCTATTGTAAGTAGTTTATTCTGTGGGTTTAGTTAATTGAACTTGGTGATTTATGTGAATTTAGTCATTATGGATATTACGGTGAGAAATTGTACCGATGTTGTTGTACCGATATTGTTGACCTTCACGCTGTTCTTGCTGAACAATGAAATATTAATTAGACAAAAATGAGGTTTATTTAAAATAAACGTCATTTTTACAATAAAATATATTTCATTGACAAAGTAGAGGATTCCTTCCCCACCACAGTCTAAGTTTTTTACTTAGTTTTAAGTATAGGTTGTGAACTGCGACGTCAGTTTTTTTAAGTTGTGTTTTAAAAAATGCCTTCGCCTTTAAATGAGGGCGAAACCCTGCCTCTGCCTCACCAAAATGAAATGTCACGGGCCGCCACTGCATTATAAGGCTAAATTTGTACAATACTTATAACATGTTGCATTTTTTAATGCAACCAAATAAATTTGTTCATACAAATTGTAACAAATCTTCGTTTAAATTTTGGGGAGTTGGATGAGGGGATAAAAAAAGCTAATAGCACTGTAAAATAATAGTTTTATTACTGACTGGTATAAAAATCAACATATTAGTCTTAAAAATGATGCTAAAAATGCGGTATGCATGCCTTAGCTTTAAAATAAATAGCTATTTCAGTGAAGAACAAAAAAAAACATATGGGTGTTTTGGACGGCCTTATATTGCTCTTTTCAAAAATGTACAAATATATCTGGTGTTCCATTTAAAAAAATTATATAATATTTGATGAAAGCAATGCCCCATTGTTTTGGTTTCGACATGTTCAAATACCTAAAAGATTAATTATATAGGGTTGTCCAAAAAAACCGTAACTTTTTTAACAGCCAATTCAATTTGATGTAGATAGTTTTGTACATCATCTAAAGTAGAACTTGTAGACCAACATGTGAATAAAATGATTAATGAATACAAAGTAAATTTATCTTTCTTGCATACCTTTTTATGAGTGGATTCATAAGAAACATCCATTCAAATATCTAATATCTAATAATACACTGAAAGAAATTTGTTGCTAAAAGTAAATACAAATTTATACTAAAAATTTTATAATAGTGCTTTACACATTTATACTACTGTTTATTATGAATGTATGTTAAATTTTGTAATACATTTATTGTAAAGAAGATATGTTAGATCTAAATAAAAATAAACTTACCCTTACTATAAAATGTAAACTATAAGTGAATTACAGCAAAAAAATATTGCTAGAAACACATTTATATTGCTAGGGCAGCAATAGGCTGCTAACCAAACGAATATATTTGTTTTAGCAATGTATGTGGTAGTCCATATATGAAACATAAAATATATTTGCCCTAATTATTTTTTTATTTAACTTTAGTATATATTTCTTTCAGTGTAGGATTTACAGGGCCGAGCCGTACCGGGGGTGCAAGGGGTGCATGGCACCCGGGCGGCACTAACACAGGGCGGCAAAATATCAAAAAAATTGTATCATATTATCAAGAATAAAAAAGCCACCTTGCAATATGCAAAAAACTTTCTAAAAATCACTTGCGTTTTATTGATGTCGGCGTTTCAAGGAATCATTGTTTTTATTCTACACATAAAAACAATGCCAAAATTGTGCTATCAGGCGGCAATGATAAAAAAAGACATAACCGAACGCGCGATAGCCACAAAAAATGATGATGACAATTTTTCTAAAAGCCCGGTTTATAGATTGCCGCCCACCCGCTTCGCTTTCCCTCCGTCCGCTTCGAGTTCGTCAAGTTTCATGTTTTACGGAAGCGGGCTTACGGGAAACCAATCAAATCGCGCGCTGTGTACCACGTGATATTGTTTACAAGCTGAACTGTTAAGTTAAAGCATAATTTCTTCCGATTTGACGGCTGCGTATTTCAGCAATTTTTAGTTTTTCTATTAACGTGAGGCAAATAGGATGCAAACATAGTAGTTTCTTTTGTCTTTTAATGCGTTTAAGTTAAAAACTAGTTAATGATTTAAAAGGCATCTTTCCGAATTTATTTGTAGCTTTAAGAATATTTTTGACGATGCCAGTTACTGTTGCATGCCCATGGAGAGCGGTCATTTTCAAAATTAAAACTAATTAAGACTTATTTAAGATCCAATATGAGTCAATTCAGGCTTTTAAATTTAGCAATTATAAGTATTGAAGAAGATATTTCTAACAACTTGGATGTAGGCGACTTGATTAGGGAATTTGCTATTAAAAAAGCGAGAAAAGTAGATTTTAGTTTTTTAGTTTAGTTTAATTATTTTTGTTTTTTTTTTCCTGAATGTATTTTTATTTTATTCTTTTATGTATTTGTTAATAAATACTTTGTTATTTTACTATAAAATTTGTTATATGTTTATTGAAAATGATAAAATATGAACTCCTTCCCTACCGACAACCTAATTTTTTCGGCTCGGCCCTGAGGATTTACAACAAACAGTATATAGCCATTAAATGCACAGCTAGCAAATTGTTGGTGGGTGTACCCACTGCGATTAATATGTAACACACAAAGTTCGCACTGATTCATAATTTCCACGCCAATTGTTGCCAGAGGCCGATAAAACGAAATCAAATTGTTTTATTTCATCATGGACTTTGATTTACGAACTATCCGATTATTCGATTAGTTTCACTTTCTGCGAGTCGAATCTAGCTCAACAACATCTAGGTTATATCATGTGAAATATTATCGGCTTTATACAGGGTGTCCCAACAAGGCAAGTTTTGTATTTCACAGAGAATGAAAATTTTTTAAGTTTTCTTTATCAAAATGTTACTGTAATGGCGGAATATATCCGACAATAATGGTTATGTTAGCTGACCACCAAGCCCCTGCGATTTGAAGCACCTAGATTTTTTCTTTTTTGGGTTTATCTGTAATATCTACAATATTGGACAACAGACAATACTAGAATAACTATTGTCTCTAAGATCAAATTTGGTCTATAAAAGTATTATTACTTTTATAGTCCACTTGGTCATAAAAGCAGATATGTTTTAATATCTAGATAGCATAATAGATACCACAATCTAAATAACATGGAATTGCTGGTACAAAATGCAAATGCATTTTAGCTTGTTTTATTGAACGACATACATGTTGTGGCACAATAAATAAGTGATTATCTGATGCTATCCTTATAATAAACGAATGCAAATATTTAACAGTCAATTATGAATAGTTGGTAATTGCTAATTGCCGGTGTACCAGTCCAAGCGCATTAACTTGAGAGCTAAATTATCCCATTAAAATATTCATTACCACACTTAACTTTAATGGATATAACTGTTGCAAAATTGATAAATATTATAATTGTATGATAAAAACAATGGTTACAATTTGTGATACTAATTATTAATTATATTTCTATTTTCAGATTTAACCTGAGGTTAAGTGGTAAGTGTTTAATTAGTTATACAGTACAGTTATTTTTACCTGAATGAATTTTAACATATTTCAATTCAAAATAAAACTCTGAATGCATACATATGTAAAATGTCAATTTTCGACAGGTAAAATTATTTTTTGATTAAATTTTATTTCTATATCTAGAGTGTCTTGAATTGGCTTTTCCGCTTCATGGCCCACCATGTAGTCTGGAAAAAATACAATTTTGGACTTTTGGTGAAAAAAATGTAGCATTTCCAAAATATTGACCTTAATTTGTTTTGCCTTTTGTAGAAAAAACAATTATAAAAAAATTGTAAAAAAAATTCTTTGAAAAATAAATTTTTGTCTGGTAGATTTGAGATGGAAAGACCCATATGTAATTTTTTTTATGACATATTTGGAATCTGCGCATACGATTTTGTTATTTTTTTTAAGCGTTTCTCGAACAGTTCTTGAGATCGTACGATTTTATAACAAATGTGACAAGAATTACGAATGTATTTAACATCTAGGTTATGTTCAATATTCTTCAAAGTATTTAATGGCCATTTTCACCGTTTTCTCTAACTGATCAGTTAAATAAACTGAAAAGTTAAAAGGTAATAGGAGATTAGTGTCCAAAATCTTGCACCGTGATTTTTTTACTATGGTTTAAAATTTAAGTAGTGATCTAGGGAATTTGACTAAAAAATGGAAAAGATTGGTGCTAATAACTAACTTCACACACTTATTTGTGACGCAAATATATTTTGACCTTAAGAGTTCAGTTCTTTATAATCTGTGGTTCGATTCTTTATCATCTGTGGTTCGATTCTATTTTATGTACGACCGATTCAGTTGATGGTAAGAGAGAATAATATAGATACAGATCCTGAAAAAAAGGGGGCGCTCCTCAAATTTTTCAGAAAATGAAAAAAAATCATTTAATTAATCTTGTGGATACAAGGGTATCATTGAAAACAAAGAGACAGATAGGGCTAAAACAATTAGAGCAGGAAATTAACAATAAAAAGGATGTGAAAGAAATGACTTAATATATGTTTTATAATAATATACAAGAAGTGACTATTTATTTTATTTTAATTTTTAATAAGTATAAATTAAATAAAACATCAAAAATATTATTCAAATTAAATTTTATAAATTCGCAAAATAATCTTGTATTAATTGATTTTGAAACATAATGCGATCTTGTGGATGAGTAACAACAGGGTACTCCAGTTCATGGCATTAATATCATCAGGCAATGGCGGCTCTGGTTTATTCATGTCTCTAGCAATATTATGTAGTACAGCTGCAGCTGAAATAATGGACAAAACGGTATCTAGTTTTAATCTTAAGCCACATGCCAACACTGGAAACCTTCTTTTCCAAATTCCAAATACTCTTTCTATTATATTTCTGGTTCTTAGTAGTGACTCATTATAGAGTTGCTGACCTCTATACCTATAACTTTTGATATTGGATTTGCTAAAGTTGATAATAAATAATATCTTTGAAAAAAAATAGATCTTGAATACCGATGACTAGTACTTTTGAGGTTATAAATCGTTAACGGTGGATTAAAGTAATTTAAACCACCGAAATTGGGGGTTTATTTTAACAGTAGTTAGAGGTATTTAAACAAGGATTAAGTTACGGTGCAAGCCTGTTATGAAAAATAAACCTGTGTTAAAAATTAAACCACTGTTAAACTTACGGTGCAGGTGGCAATAAATCGTTTATAATTCGAGGTAAATTTATAAAATTATAAATTTCAAAATAATTTGTAAACTTGTAACAACTTGTAAATTAAGTAGTGTATCTAAAAACTTGAAAAATGTCCATCGGCAAATTGCCTTCAAAATAATTTTTTAAACATCGGCGCGTGCTCAAAGAAGCCATTGCGATGCCTTGGGAAGCGGGGAGTGCATTTCATACTGCAGCTCGACTGAATTATTCATATCGAATAAGGCGACGTGCGATGTGAATTTCAATCATATACACGCAACCATTTATAAAACAATTACCTGTCTGTCAATGAAATTCACCGACGATTGAAAAGAAGTTTGTTTTTAATTTAAAAAATAATTGTTCTTTTAAAGAACAATTATTTTTTAAATTAAAAACAAACTTTTTTTGGACGTAAAGAAAAAACTTCAGTTTTTAAATTTTTTGCATGGTAACTCCTAGGTTACTATGTAGGTACAAAAACCGTTGTGGCCAAATGTTTTTTGCAGTAGTATCTTGATAAACAAAAAAAAAATTCTTTAAGAAGAAGAAGATAAGATGTTGAAAGATTGTTCCTTGAATAATTTTGAAGAAGCGACAAGCAACAAACTTTCATTATTTTCAGAGGAACGTAAATATCGGTCCAAGTTTAGTTTTCGCAAATTTTCACCAAAATGTCATTTTGAATGGCTATAAAAAAATGTACCACCTAAGGTAACTTTTTGATTAAATTTTCAGTGTCTTATTAGGACAAAAACCTACGATTTGTCAAAGTAATGAGATTATTTTTATTTACAGAATAAACTTCTTTTACTGTTATTAAAATTCTCATTTATTATAATGAAGCAGCAATGTTGAGATTTTATAAAAAAAAATGTTCATCCAACAAAGTAATAGTTGTTATCATATTGTCATGGCAATAAGAAATACTTTATGTTTATATTAAATCTTTGTCGAACTTAAAATGTTTTTGTTAAATCTATAGTTGTGTGAATTGCGCTTACATAAATTTATGCGCAGTTGTTATAGTAAAATTTGTTTATTTTACTATGGCATATTTGTCTTTTTTAAATTACTATCATTGTAATTTAAATTAATTTTATTTCACAATGACAAAAATATTTTATTGCTATAAAAAGACTTTTTTAATATTTACTATTATTTTGCAATGAAAACAAATTTATTGTTATTTCCCTTAAAAAGAGGGGGAAAGGGCCAGCGCAATCCTTGGTGAACATAACTTTATAATCCACAGTCTGTGTTATAATATTATTGATTTCACTTATGTGGTAAAATCTAGCATAATAAAAATATCAAAAAGATCACTATAGTGATCTTTTTGATATAATTTTCTTATAAGAAAATTAAAATTTCGACGTTTTCTAAAAGAAATATTTAAGGTCCATTCTATTAACGAAGAAGACTTGTTATTTAAAAAGTGAGTTCATATTTTTTTTATTTTGTACATCATATAATATTAGTTAATTATTTTGTTATAATAAATAATTTGTTTTAATGCCTTGCAATTATTTAAAAAGAACTACCCAACACCCTACAGTGGGTTGAAAATGTGACAATTGTTACAATGAAAATAGTTTATTGAATTAACAATTAATTTGTTGTTAAATTTACATAAATTTTTGTAAACGGTATATATAAAACTGTTTTTTTGGCAAATAATAATAACTATATTTATCAATGCGTTTCTGCATCTGGAAGAGTGTTATTTTTATAAACAAAAGGGGGATTCTACAAAAGTTGGTCAACTTTTGACCTCATTTTGTTTATATATTTTTTAGAGAAAATTAAACAGTATTTTGTTATGAGAACATAGATAATATAATAAATATACTCTCTAAAAGTGAAACAGTGAAATTTTCACTATTTTCGTCAGTGAGTTATTAATTCACTGTAAAATTAGTGTTTTTCAATATAAATTAGTGAAATTTTAACTTCTCCAAATTAGTGTTTTTATTATCACTACTTTTCCGGAACTCTTGACATAAAATAGTGAAATTTATACAGTGTTATTTCCACTAAATAAATTAGTGCAAAGAAATCGCTACATGAAAAAGTGAGTATTCACTAATTGCTAGTGGTATACTTATCACTGCGGCAAATAGTTAATATGCACTATGATTGCAATCAGTGAAAATCCACTGTTTCATTTTTAGAGAGTACCTACTGTTCCAGACCGGGCCAGTCACTTTTTCAAACAGTTTCTGAAATATCTGTGTTTTCTAAATTTGAATGCAAGGGAAGTGACGAGTATAACAGGGTACTAAATAAATCGGCTGGTGGATTTTGGGTAAACCAATATCTCAATTAAGTATTATATATGGGACCCACACCAACTTTATACGAGTTTATAATGACATTAAATAAACAAGTTCTGCGCAAGCAGAATTTAAATTGAAGTTTGCGAGAAAAAGATAACCCAAACATCGAACATGGAACTGACGACACGGTACTGATGAATGGGATAGAAATTTGACATTATAATTCGGAATTAAGTATTTCTTATCAAAAAATCACATATAGCCTTATACATATAAATTACAATGAAATATATATACTTAAGGAAATAACTACTCACCACAGTACTGAAATTTTGACTGGGGCTATTCGTTCATTCACCACAACTCCGCCGCTTGCATTGTTTTCAAGATGACTGTCGTAGGTAATTTTTACCGACACTTGAGTTAGAACGAGGACGCGATGTTTAAACTTCAATATTTCGCAGGAATTTTAAATTTTAACATTGGACACAGAACTGGCGGGTAAAAGTAAGTACAAAGATTGTCAATTTCTAAAAATTGGTATTATTCGAATCTATGATAAAATATGAAAATTATTATTATTATTATTATTTAATTTTTTATAGTTTGTAGTGAAACTGAAAAATTTAAGATAAATTGAATATATTTTAAAATAAAATCACTTAAATATTTGATTCAGGTGTTGTGACACGCCAAGGTACTGATGTTTTGAATATTTATTATGTTTTTCTACATACGTGCTTTTGAAAAAATACATTAAAATTGGGTGGACAAATTAAAAAAACCTGGATCTTTTGTAATATACTAATATACTATTTACAAACAATATTAAAATACCTACTCTATTGACTGATGACATATAATTAATACAAATGCTATTACTGAAAGCAGCGTTTGTAGATAAATAATTTTTATAAAAATGATCTTTTTGCCGTAACAAAAGCAATTGTTGGATGAATAGGGATCTTAAATTTATTTCTACCCCTTAGCTTTTAGGGTCCTCATTTGGAATTGCAT